TTTTCTCCGTTCTTTTTTCTGAAGACATAACGAATTGATTCCTCTGACAACAGAGGGACCATTTCACCCAGTATAACAAAACGTGCTTCTGAACAGGATTGCCTACCCTACCTTTAATTCTAGTTACAGATTACTCTGAAATGTACACAATTTACCTTGTATGCATGCATGTGTGTATGCACATTACCTCCAAATTCTTTTTTCCAGTTGCAAGGTACTTTACATCTCATCTTCTTCTTCTGCTGGTCACATGACCCATCTCTATACCCTGCTCCACAGTCCCCGTTGCTAGGGACACAGTTGCCATAGCGCCAGTCAGTGCATTCTGACCCAGACTGGGAGGGTTTGTTTTTCTCTGAGGATTGAATAAAGATTTGTTAACTTATTATTCTATCTTACTCAATGACAGTGCTACTTGTGGCCAGCCTGAGCTTCCCTGTATAACCAGTCTGCTGGTCACTGGGATCTTGTCTGTATGAACAAAGCAAATGTAAGCAATTAGGCGTTCAGTTCCATGCACCTGAGCAGCACCTACTCATGGCCCTAAGTCCATATGAGTCATCATTTATTTGAATGTATTTGTCACTACACTTCTATTGGCTTGTGTTTTAGTAGTGTAAGGAAATGGATGCATCAACGTCCACTGTGCACATGTAACATAAATATAAATAACTGACCTTTCCTAAAGCCTGTCAGTCTTGTGTGCTGCAATAACAGTTGAGTAAGCCTTGGTCAACTTTCTCCTTTCCTGAATTGTACATAGCAATGTGCTAGGCTCATCTATGTTGAAAGAAATTCTGATTTTGAAGGTAGTTAAAAGATAAAAGCGACATAATCACATCGTAAATGACCTAATGTTAGCAAGTGACATAATCACATCGTAAATGACCTAATGTTAGCAACATGTTAGCTAACTTGTTCGCCACTGATTGACGTAAATTAGCTAGCCAGTTAGCTAACTTTTTACTAACATTAGCTTTCATTGTAACTAACGTTAGCTAGCTAATGATTTGTGTACCATATCTAGCTAGATAGTTAAGGATTAATGTATATTACATTGCTAGTTAGCTAGTTGGATTGATGTGGATTAACTAGTTAGTTAGCTAGATTTTCCAACATTAGCTAGCTAACATACGATGTGAGTATATGTTGCTTTTATCTTTCAACCATCTTCAAACTTGTTGTCATAGACGAGCCTAGCATATAGCACATCTAAATACAGGATGCACTATTTTTTTTATCCAGGATGGCGATCTCATGAACCACCCTACTCTGTCTCAAATCGGCTTACCCTGATATTCTTATCCTAACTCTTATCATTTTATGTAATTTATTTATTATTATTGTCTCATCCAGATTGCCCATGTATCCTCCTTGTGTCCACCATCTATCTGATTCCATGTGAATGCAGCTGGAGTCTTGCTCAGCTGTTATTGGAGAACAGAGTGAAAAGGGGCGAGACTTAGGAACGGCCAATTGCATAAGACAAAAACGTCTTCCATACATTTTGAAAGAATAAATGATAGAATGTTATAACAATGGACCTGTAAGTGCAGTACCGATATAATAATAATGAATCAAAGCCTACAGCTTCATTGTGTGTAGCAGTAAACCCCATACTCATCTAACAGCACTCCAGTGCAGTTAAATCAATTTTATTCCTCAGAATGCAAAAATAAAGAAAATTACATTATTCAAAATCAGGATATTGACTATTAGTTACTATTATTACTATTACTGTGTAAATAAGTTAAATTAGATTTGGGCTTCAACAATTAATATTACAATACATATACAAAAACGTATAATCTATATTAAGAAGAAAACTATAGAATGATAGAAGGTAAGACAGGGAGAGAGAAAGAGAGAGTCTTACCTTTTTTGTTTTTGCCTCCAGCTACAGTTTTAATAGTGATTAGAGTGACTAACAGCAGCAGCAACAGCACAGCCCTCATTCTGTACAAACACATAGCAGTGGGAAAAATCAACATTTAAAAAGGTTTCATACATCACAACTGTTAAACCATTAAGAGTTGACCCTCACCCCAGAGTTATTTCATGTGAAATCATTATCCTCTCCTCTCACCACCACTACCACCACCACCACCACAGCTCATAACAACCCGACAGGGGACTTCTCAACACTGGCTGTCTTCATACAAAAAACACAAACGGTAACACTTTACAATTAGAGACACAACATTTTGAGTAGTTACCAGGCAACAAATGAGGAACAAATTAGGAACTTCCTGCTAGTGAAAATGTGTTAATGAGTAGTCAAATTTTATAGAGCAGCTAATGATTAATTAATACTATAAAACAAGTGAGTAACAAATCAAGAATAACCTGATAATTAATGTATTCATTATTAATAAGTACTTCCTAAGTTCTAAACAATACAATAGATACTAGAAAGGGACATCTGATTTCTTAATTAGTTGTTTTAGTTTAGTTTACGAAGTAATCGTAAAATAATGATGAAGTAATGAGGGACTACTTAAAAACTACTCCACTATCTTTGTTTAAGCAATTAAGTAATTAACAATGAATGAGTCAGTTTTGTGCTGTTCACTGGCTGGTTCAAAGTTAAACAGAAACGACTCATTAAGAATAGAGAATAAAGAATCGCAGATATTCATGAACTAATCATTACTTAATTATTCATTACTATTAGAGTAGTATTTATTAAAAATTCATAAATTATCCAGTTTTCCTTTGTTAATTAACTAATCATTAACAAATCATTAGCTACGCTATCAAATTTGATTAGGAGTTACTCATTAGCTAATGGTTTACTAACAGGTAGTTCCTCATTTGTCCATTTGTTGTGATCATCCACAACATTTGATGTCCATTAGTGTAAGTGATAATATTAGGTTTACATTACATACACCATCAGTCACCAGTTATGTTCAGATATTGCAGGATTAAATTGCTGAGGTGCTGGGTAGCTGAACAATAATGTGAATAATGTTCATTTTACTCTAAATAGTAAAATAACAAAAATTTGAGTAACACAAATAGGTATTTTTCGAAATTTTTCACATGAAAGTGGTGTTGGTAAATGGACTTGTACTTGTATTGCGCCTTTCTAGTCTTCCGACCACTCAAAGCGCTTCTACACTACGTGCC